AATGGGGATAATGAAAGAACAAGGAGGGAGTGGCAGGAAGAAACTTAGACTTCTGAGGAAAAGAGCAGCGTCCGAAGTAGGATGCATTCAGAACATACTTGTTCTGACCACACAGGTGCTCAGTGCTACTCAGGATGTGTCCCACGTCTGTAAAAATGGATTCCGCTGGGAGACAAAGTTTGGAAATTAAGCTGCAGTCTAAGAACCCTCTCCAAGTCCATGAAGCCTCCTCCATGTGTCCTCTGGTGTGTGTTCAGTAATGGCCTGACTTTGGGGAGACGTAGAGGGGAGTCCAGGAAGTCCAGGAAGGTGCGGGGGAGGACGTTCGGCGGCTGGAAGAGTGCTGCTGGCCTTTCTTCAGCTCAGGGCTGCTTGTCCCTCTGTAGGTGTGATGGCTGTGAGGCAGTTCTGTTGGGCATCGAGCAGCAAGTTCTGAGAGCCAACCAACACAAAGAGAACCACAACCGAACACAGCAGCAGGTGGAGACTGAGGTAAGGGAGGGAAGGGCCGGCCTGCGTGTTCCTGTGCGGTGTGTTTGTTGTCGCTTTGTTTTGGGTCTGGTATCGATGGAGCAAGCATTCACTGACAGGCCGTCATTGCTCTGGCCAGGTGCTCGGACAGACGTGAGTGTGACGCAGTCCCTGCTCTTGGTCGTGTCTGTCTCCTTCCTGATTCTTGCTCGGTAGAGTGATCAGGCATGGAGAGCAGAGTGTCAGGATTCTTTGGTTCACACGCACTTGGTAGCTGTCAGCCAAGGACAATGAGATCTGGCATGGGTGATGTTTAACAGGTGAGAGCAGGGGTGCAGTTGTATCCTCTTTACTAAGCAGTGTGGTAGGGGCATAATGTCCGTAAACCATACGTAAGTTATTACAAATGCGTTTGTGCATGATGTATTTCCTAATAAGGAAAAAAGAAAGAGAGAGAAAATCTGGAGGAGAATGTATGCGTGAGGGTGTGAGGATGTGGCTTCTATAGGACTTTACAGAACCGTCCTAGGCCTCTTGGGCACAGTGCCGACCTTTGCTGTGGCTGAGCGGGTGGGTGTTTGTGTGCTGGGAGCCTGGGCATCTGTGAACAACCTCCAGACTTGTTCTAATCAGAACGTTAGCATCGGAAGGGAGTCTTTTTCTAGTGACAATCAGACAAAGTGTTAAGAGGATTAATGAGTTCTAAAACTCAGGGGTCCAAGAGTATGGGAGTGCAGGGCCCAGAATTCCAGCTAAGGAACATAAGAAATAAGTGTGCCAATCACAAGGGGAGCTATCAAGTCTGCAGATTTCCCCTCGGTTACAGGTATTCCTCAGGACATCCCACCTGTGTTATATCTTGCTTGTCTTTTTAAGCTGAGCTCCTTGCCCTATGCCTGGCCCAGTCTGTGGAAGTGCACCTTTCTGACACACCGTATGGATGTGTCAGTGGGCTGCTGAGCTATGGGTTTTGTGCACAGGAGTTGATTTGTGTTGTGTATACCTACCTACATTTTTACATGGACTAACTGCTTTGTGAAGTCTTAATTCATTCTTAGTCCTGGTGTGGGGCTGAGGGTTAATGTGCTGGATTGCAAGATTGGTTTGAACTGCAAGGTGGCAGTTCAAGCTCCTCGGAAACCCTATACAGGGTCACTGTGAGTTGGAACCAACTTGATGGCATTTACAACAGCATTCCATTTTTTAATCGTATTTCTAGCCTGTAAATATGAACTGCATTTAATTTAATGTTGTTATTAGTGCGGTCGAGCCGGTTCTGACTCATAGCAACTCTGTATAGGGTTTCCAAGGAACGGCTGGTGGAGTTGAACCACCAACTTTGCAGTTAGCCGTCCATTGCTGATCCTACAGAGCCAGAGCCAGGGCCAAAGTCAAACCCAATTGGGAAACATGCCTACCGCTCCTCTGGTAAGCAATGCAGCCCCCCTCAAGATGATCATGGCCTCTCTGACCTGGGATTGATGTCAGACCAAAGTAGGGAGAGCTCAGCACACTCTCCTTTCTGTCTGTTCTTCCTGCAAATCACACTCTGGACAAGCCACACTCTGCCTGGCTGACGTAAAACAAAACACATCTGTGACCTCCTTGATGGCGCCCAGCAGGAGCCTGATCCCCCAAGCTGCCTGGACTCTTGCTCCTTGTGTGGTGGGTGGTAAACTTGGATTGTGCTTGTTCACAGTGAAGGACGAATGGTACTGATTTTAGGATTTTGAAGTGTTCGAGTTTATTTCCATGACGAATGGCATCTGGCAAAAGAAAGGAGGGTGTGAGCACAGCTTCTTTAAACACTTGGTTAATGTTTGAGGCACACCCAATGTTCATACAATAGTGTGGACTCCCTAAATCATAGTTACTACAAAATCAGAGGAGAGGCAGCACATGTGGGTTTCTTCCTGGCCTTTTGTTGGAAGCAGAGCTTTGAACTGGTTCAGGCATGGCTGACAAAGGGAAACTGGAATGGACCTGAATTTGTAAACTGTGGGTGTACCATAACGAACCAGAACAGGACAAAGTGCGGGTGGCAGCCCTGGGATTGGCCATTCCGAAGCGGCGGCGTGAGCCCTTTGAGATGCTGATGGAGGAGAGTGGGGGATTGCCAGCACCCACAGAAAGTCACACGTTCAAAGTGGAGCGCTGGGTGCTTGGTGCGCTGTGAGCTGGGCCCCTTTGTGTTCAATGCAGTTGGTCAAGAGATTTGGTTACTATGTAGTACACTGCTGCTTTGTGGGGGATTTGTTTTTAAAAGAAAAGAAAAGACGTGGCCCAAGGAGCCGAGGAAGGCTCTTTGTTGTTGTTAAGTGCCGTCGAGTCGGTTCCGACCCATAGCGACCCTGTACAGGGTTTCCGAGGGTGTAAATCTTTACGGGAGTAGAAAGCCTCATCTTTCTCCCGCGGAGCGGCTGATAGTTTCGAACCGCTGACCTTAAGGTTCGCAGTCCGATTCTTAACCACTACGCTACCAGAGCTCTAGGCAGTGCTAACTCCCATCTCTAAACAGAAGCCTTAGAGGGTTTTAGGTGGGAAAAGACATCATGTTTATTCATTGGAAGGGCTGGACATCTGGTGTGGCACTATAGGATCAGCACTGGACTGCGAACCACAAGGTCAGCAGTTCAAATCCACCAGCTACTCCTTGGAAACATTAGGAGTCGGAACCGGCTTGATCGCACTTAATAACAACAACCAGGGCAAGGATTTCCAGGAAAAGGCCCGGTAAGGAGAGACTTTACTAACTGGATGTGTGTGCACAGCTTTTCTTCAAGATGGATTCCATTGCCTCTGGTAGAGGCAGACACAACTTACCCTGAGATGTCTGAAGGTGTGTAGTTCTTCAGGGCTCTGGTTCAAACCCCTCCCAGGGCTGCCCTTGTTTCAGAAAAGGGAGATTAAATTTCTTGCAGTCTTTAACCCATGATTTTTCCCTTTCATAAGTGTTCCGAGTTCACCTACATTTTAAAAATTTGAGCCTATTCAGGTGTTGCTTCTTTGACCTGGATAACCTCGGAGAAATGGCTATTCCTGCCTGCAGAGCCTGATACTGCCACCAGGTGGCAGTAAGGTTTTGATTAAGTTTGAAAGAAAGAAATACTGAGGAAAAGGCCCCACCTCTACCACCAATTGAAAGCAACTTGTAGATTTAATAATCATCTTTAGCATCTGTAACAGACCAGTATGGGAAGAGGAAGAGCCTGGGCCAAGGCCAGAGCCTTATCAGCTTTTCCAGTCAGTAATGGGTGATCTGATTATGTACTACTTGAGGACCGTAGAAAGGACTCACAGAGTATCATTGACTCGAGAGAAAATACATCTGCACAGAAAAAGGAAATTCCTTCTGCTGCTCAGATTTATGCTTCAATTGCCCTTGACCTTGCTTTTTAAGCCTTTTTTTCAATTGAGTTAGTGATCTGTATTTATCCTCAACTCGGGCTGCTTGGTCTCAGAGGAAATACTTGATTTTTGCCGCCGAGTCATGTATTAACAACTTGAATTGTAACTTGAAGAGTCTTCCTTCCCTCTTCATAAAGTCAGTCCCATGGTAAAAGCACCACCAGGACCCCTTTCCATTGTCTGGATGTACCACATGTGTTTACCCATTCGCCCACTGATAACACGTAGCCTTCTTTCCTTTTTTTCACAATTGTTGCTATGCCTGAGCCCATCACTTCCGCCACTTGGCCAATCCATCTCGTTGGGGATGTTCTCCTGTTCTCTGACCCTCTACTTTACCAAGCATGACACCCTTCTCCAGTGACTGGTCCCTCCTGACTATACGTCCGAAGTATGAGAGACGAAGTCTGGCCATCCTGGCTTCCAAGGAGCACTCTGGCTGCACTTCTTCCAACACAGATCTGTCTATTCTTTTGGCAGTCTATGGCACTTTCAATCTTCTCCTCCAACACCATAACTCAAATACAATACATCAATTCTTCTGCGGTCTTCCTTATTCACTGTCCAGCTTTCACATGCATATGAGCGTACTGAAAATACCCTGGTGTGGGTCGGGCTTACCTTAGTCCTCAAGCTGACATCTTTACTCTTCAATATTTCAAAGATTGAAATATTGGGTTAAAGTCTTGCACAGCAGATTTGCCCAATGCAAGTATTTTGTTTGATTTCTTGACTGCTGCTTTCATGAATGCTGATGGTTGGTCTGAGCAAAATGAAGTCATTGACAACTTCAGTCTTTTCTTCATTTATATGGATATTATTTATTAATCCAGTGGTGAGGATTTTTGTTTTCTTTACATTGAGATGCACTGAAGGCTGTGGTCTCTGATCTTCATCAATAAGTATTTTAAGTCCTCTTGGCTTTCAGCAAGGTTGTATCATCTGCATATCACACAGGTTGTTAATGAGTCTTCCTCCAATCCTGATGCCACGTTTTTCTTCATATAACCCAGCTTCTCAGATGATCTGCTCAGCATACAGGTTGAATAAGTATGGTGAAAGAATACAAACTTCTTGTATAACTTTCCTAATTTTAAACCTTTTGGTGTTTTCTTGTTCTGTTTGAACAACTGCCTCTTGGTCTATGTACAGGTTCTTCATGAGCACAATTAAGTGTTCTGGAATACTCAAATACTTCGTAATGTTGTCCATAGCTTGTCATGGTCCACACAATCTGAAGCCTTTGCATAGTCAATAAAGCACAAGTAAACATGAATAAGGAAGACTGTAGAACAATTGATGCTTTTGAGTTATGGTATTGGAGGATAATATTGAAAGTGCCATGGGCTGCCAAAAGAACCAATAGATCTGTTTTGGAAGAAGTGTAGCCAGATTGCTCCTTGGAGACCAGGATGGCCAAACTTCGTCTTTCCTACTTCAGACATATTGTAGGAGGGACCAGTCGCTGGAGAAGGGTATTATTTTTGGTAAGGTGAAGGGTCAGAGAAAAAAGAGGAAGACCTCCCAGCAAGATGGATTGGCAAAGTGGCAGCATCAGTGGGCTTAAGTGTGGCAACAATTGTGAGGTTGGCCCAGGACTGGGCAGTAGTTTGTTCTGTTGTACATAAGGTTGCTATGAGTCGGTACTGACTCGATGGCACCTAACAACAACACATGTTTCTGGTATTCTCTGCTTGCAGCCAAGAGCCATCTGACATCGGCAATGATCTCATTGGTTTTACAGTCCTATTCTGAAACTGGCTTGAACCTCTGGAAGTTCTCTGTCAATATATGGTTGCAGCCATTTCTTTATTACCTTTAGTAAAACTTTACTTGCATGGGGTATCAACGATACTGTCTGATGATGTCCGCATTCCATTGGGTTACCTCTCTTTGGCCACAAATACAGATCTCTTCCAATCAGTTGGCCAGATAGTTGTCTTCCATATTTCTTGGCATAGATGAGTTCTTGGCATAGATGAGTGAGTGCCTCCAGTGCTGCCTCAATTTCAATTTGTATTCCATCAATTCCTGGTGCCTTGTTCTTTGCCAATTCCTACAGTGCACCTTGGACTTCCTTCAGGAACATTGGCTCTTGATCATATGCTACCTCTTGAAGAGGTTGAACATTGACCATTTCTTTTGGGTACAGTGATGGTGTATATTCCTTCCATCTTCTTTTGATGCTTTCTGCATCATTCAGTATTTTGTCCTTGGTGGTGGTGGTAGTTATGTGCCGTAGAGTTGGTTCCGACTTATAGTGACCTTGTACAGGGTTTCTGAACCTGCAAATCTTTACGGGAGCAGAAAGCCTCATTTTTCTCCCACGGAACAACTGGTAGTTTCCAACTGCTGACATTAATGTTCGCAGCCCAGTTCGTAACCACTATGCTATCAGAGTTCCTTGAATCCTTCAATACCCCAAGTCGAGGTTTGAATTTTTTCTTCAGTTCCCTCAGCTTGAGAAATGCTGAGCGAGTTCCTCCCTTTTAGTTTTCTAACTTCAGGTCTTTGCACATTTTGTTATGATATTTGACTTTGTCTTTTTGAGCTGACTTCTGAAATTTTCTGTTCAGCTCTTGTACCTCCTCATTTCTTCCATTTGCTTTAGCATCTCTACACTGGAGAGCAGGTTTCAGAGTCTCTTCTGACATCCATTTTGGTGTTTTTCTTCTCTAGTCTTCTCAACGACCTTTTGCTTTCTTCCTATATGATGTTCTTGGTGTTATCCCACAACTCTTCTGGTTTTTGGTCATTAGTATCTAGTGCATTAAATCTGTTACTGAGATGATCTCTAAATTCAAGTGGAATATGTTCAAGGTCATACTTTGGCTCTTCTGAACTTACTGTAATTTTCTTCAGCTTCAACCTGAATTTACATATGAGCAATTGATGTTCTGTTCCGCAGTCTGCCCCTGGCCTTGTTTTGGCTGATGATATGGAGCTTTTCCAGCTTCTCGTTCCACAGATGTAGTCAATTTGATTTCTGTGTATTCCATTTGGTGAGGTCCATGTGTATAATCATCTTTTACTCTGTTTAAAAAAGGTATTTACAATGAAGAAGTCAATTGGTTTTGCAAAATTCTATCATGCCATCTTCATCATTGTTTCTATCATCAAGGCCATGTTTTCCAACTACTGATCCTTCCTCTTTGTTTCCAGTCTTTGCATTCCACTCACCAGTAATGATCAGTATATCTTGATTGCATATTTGATCGATTTCAGCCTGAAGAAGTTGGTAGAATGCTTCAATTTCATCCTCACTGGCTTTAGTGGTTGCTGCATAAATTTGAATAACAGTGGTATTAACTGGTCTTTCTTGTAGCAAATGAAAGACCAATGGTATTAACTAGTCTATCTTCATTTGCTGAAGGGGCACAATTCAAAATGAAGAGAAACAGCTGTAAAAATCCATTAATAATTGGAACATGTAATGTACGAAGTATGAATCTAGGAAAATTGGAAATTGTCAAAAATGAAATGGAACGTATAAACATAGATATTCTAGGCATGCTGAACTGAAATGGACTGGTATTGGTTATTTGAATCTGACAATCACATGGTTTACTATGAATCTCTCTGATGGAGGTGTGGCGCTGTGGATTAATGCTCTGGACTGCTGTAAGGTCGATTTGAACCTCAGGGTTGGCAGTTCAAACTCACCAGCTGCTCCTCAGAAACCCTATACAGGGTCGCTTTGAGTCAGAAGCAACTTAACGGCACTTAACGACACCAATGATTGTAAGCATCTGTTTGTGGCTTGGTTAGCCACCTGAATGTCGGCTTTGGTGAAGTTGTCTAGTCATGTCCTTGTCCATATTTTAGTTGAGTTGTTTGTCTTTTTCCTGTGGACATACTGAATTTTTCAACACAGCACCACACTATCACAACATAAATTTTAGAGTTTAGACCCTTGACATGTATATCATTGCTAAAATCCTGTCAGAAACTTTCTGACAAGATCCATTTTAGAAGCTTGAATAGTTGGGAGATGCGGTGGCTGCATTCTCGTGGTGTGACGAGCCTTCGACCTTTCTGTGAATGTTCAGGCTTTAGACACCTCGGAGTGCAGACCTATAAGGACACGACATTGGAAGTGTTGAATTGTGTGGGTGGTAGGGGCCAAGGACAATGATTATACAGCGAAGGAGGAAACCAGCTAAACAGAAGGGGTTCCTTTGGGCCGGTTGTTTGCCGAGAGACTGATGACGGAACACTGTCGGTGAATTTGGCAAGTGCACCGCAGAGCAGAGTCTAGGCTTTGGGCCACCAGGTCAGGAGCTCATGTCACCTCAGCTACAGATGCTCTTGACTCCCAAGCTCATCTCCATCCGAGGCCCCTCTGAACATCGAAATGCTGGCCGTTCATTTTTTTTTGTCCCCATGTGAGTAAAGTTTTACTAAGGATAATAGAAAAATGGCTGTAACAGCACATTGACAGAGAACATTTTATAACAACATACATGCTGGGGGGGGGAGGGTTTTTCCCTGGAACCTGATAATTTAGGAATGGTGGCTGTCGTGATAAGTTCCTACAGAAACACGGAAATGAAGATGGAACTGTTATGTGGGGTTGTGATGGTAGATGCTGTCATGCCGATTCTGACTCATGACAACCCCGTGTAACAGGGTAGATCTGCCCCTTCAGGCTCCTAGACTGTCATCTGCATAGGAGCCTCTGTCCCATGGGGTCGCTGGGTGGGTTCAAACCACTGATTCATTTGCAGCTGAGTCCTTAACTGTTGTGCAACGGCCCCTTCTCATTGAGTAAACTGTCAGTAAATCTGACATGTACTGACTGAGACATTCCATCTAGAAGCTCTTTGGAGTAGAATCTAATTGTTTAGTAACAATGCCTGCACAAGAAAACGAGCAAATAAGGCTAGAAGGTATTTACCAAGCAGGGTGAAACGTAGGAAGTGTGGTTTCGTTGGATTGATTGATGTTCAGGGGAGCTGGCTTGCTCAGTGGGAAAGGAAGTGATTTGGTTGGAAGGACATCATTTTTGGAAGTAAAGGCTGTGTCACAAACACTTCCGTTTTATAATGCTTCATTGGGATATAATTTCATCAGCTTTTAAACCGATGCCCTTAGGCAGTGCATCCTCGGTCCTGAAAGGAGGAGGTGAGCACTTTGGTTTCTCTTTCATTTCTTAATGTTTATTTTAAAGTGGCAAGGTCTTTTTTAATGGTGAGAAGTCAGAAGTAACTAACATGCCAGAAAATAAACTTAAGCCATCTGAAAACACACTGGGAAGTGACTCAGAAATGATGGCGCATCCCTAATGGGCTAGCATGGATATTAGGGAAGATCTGAGCTTCAACATGAAAAATGTTCAGGATTTGACTATTTTTGAACCCTTACTTTGTTAAGTGAAATGGTATGCTGCTTAGCACTTGTGTGATAGTTTTTTGGCTGTTCGTTTGCTACATCGTCTTCATTTGTCACTTGATTGGCTGAAGTTCAGCCTCTAGTTGTTTACTCAAGAGGTGCTCATGAACCTGTATTCCCAGAGTTCCTGTGAAAATACTTGTGGTTTTGTACAGAAACAACAGCTGTGACTATGGAATTCATAGGCTGCTTGTCTTCCTAAGGACGTTTTAAGCATTGCTTGCTTCACCTTCCATGGCCTAGCTCTTTGCCAAATGCACTGCTTTGCTTATGCGTTTTTCAGCCACGAAAGCATTTCATTTTTGCTGTTGTTGTGAAGTGCCGTTGAGTCAGTTCCAACCCATAGCCCCCCTTTGTAGGGTTTCTAAGGAGTGGCTGGTGAGCTTGAACTGCTGACCTTGTGGTTCAAACCACCTTTGCAGTCCAGTGCATTAGCTTACACTGCCTTTTTTGACTGTACTCGTTTCCACTTCTCTCCATGACTAGCTCCGCTTGGCTAACACTCCGTCTGGGAGTCTGGATAGAAACTTAGGTTTTCTTGCAGAGGATGCCGATTGCTTCTCTACAAGGTTCTCTTCATGGCAAGAACAGGTGTCGGTGAGGTTTTGGTGTATCCGAACTGAACATTCTGTTTCTGCCTTCAGGTCAGCAATATCAAGAAGACCCTCAAAGCCACCGCATCCTCCTCAGCTCAGGAGATGGAACAACAGCTGGCTGAACGGGAGTGCCCCCCTCATGCTGAGCAGCGGCAACCCACCAAGAAGATGTCCAAAGTGAAAGGTCTGGTCTCCAGCCGCCACTAGGGCCGGCTGGGGCAGCTGGCACTCACCAGGCCTGGGTCAGGTGGGGAGGGGACACTGAGGGCCTAGTTCCTCCCCTCTCTGCCTTCAGTGAGTTCCAGACCTGCCCTTCCCCTCACCAGCGCCTCCCTTGTTGGTACTGTTCCAGAAACACCAAGACTCTTTCCCCTCAGACTCAGGGGCTCTACCGATGCCATCCCACAGGGTCAGACACTGCCCAGCTCCCCTCCAGGGGGCTCTTGTTTCTCCTCAAGGGCTTGTCTCCCTCCCTGCAGTGGCTATGTTGTTTTGCCAGGCTGGTCACAAGCTAGGGCACCTTCCCTGGCCCTCAGGGCTGACTGTGAAGACAGCCCCTCTCTTTGGAGGAGGGAGGCGGGCCCTCTCAGACCCCATGTCCCACAGAGCCCACACTGGTGCACACAGCTCTAGCCAGGTATCATGTGCTCTGTATCCCTGCCCCTGCCTTACCCCCGTTGGCAGCTCCGATTGAGGCTGTGGAGGAATGTGACACCGGGCTGTTGACTAAGCCTGTGGGTTTTCAGCCTCCGAAGCCTGGCTCCCATCTCTCTCTAGTTGGGAGCACTGAGCTGACTAATCTCTGGCATCTGCACCCACGCAGAGGGGGCTGCGAGTTTCTCCTGGCTTGGCGTTCTTTGCTGCCCCTGACATCACCACCCAGCTGACACGGGGCTGTCTGCCAGCATGCGCTCCCCCAAGACCTGGAGCCCTCCTGGCTGCACCTGCGATGGGATGAGGGTGCCGAGGTCCCTCTGGTGAAGGGCCTGTTGCTGCTCCCACCTCTCTGTCCGCCCCTTCTTGGCTGTGACCCAGAGCCCTGTGACGATGGCTCCCTCCTGGCAAGAGAAAGGGACTTGACTAGCCTTTCTGAACTTGAACAGTTTCAGGTTATATTTTAATTTTTTTTTGTACAGGTTCTGATTCTAATACATTTCAACATGTGTTTTTTCCCCCCACGTGTCAATATTTGTTAGCCTCCTCGCCGAGCCTTTTTGTCACCTGGTGGGTGAGCGACTGTCTGTACATACATGCAGAGAGAGAGAGAGAGAGAGTGTGTGCGTGTGTGTGCGTGTGTACGCATGCGCACACATGAGCATGGTGATTTGAGACGGGAGCTGGAGGTCCTGGACTGATCTTAAAGTTCTTTGAGGAACAAGCTCATTTTAGAAAGAGAAAGAAAAGTGTAGATTGCATGTCTGTGCCTCAGTGGCATGTGGGTCACATAGCTTCTGGATTTCCCGGGGTTGTGAGGAGGAGGAGAGACGTGTCTATCGCAGTCTCGAGGGGAAAATAGCTGTCTGCTTTTTTAAATGGTCAACTGCCACCTATTGCTGCATAATGTTAACAAAGCCTTCTCCTTCCCCTTTGAAGCTGGTTCATGTACCCAGTGGGGAGTGTTAAATGCAGTGCTCCCCAAAGTACAGTCCATGAACCCCCCCACCCCCCGGTTAGCTGCTCTGTGAAAAATGAATTCTGTGAAGTACATTTGGCGCCCTGTTTCCCATATTCTCCACTGGAATCCAGTCTATGTCCTGGGTGAGCCAATCTGTTGCCCCCGTGTTTTCAGAATCCCTTTTGGTGTGGTACCTGTTGCTAGGTGCCATCCAGTTGGCCCCAGCTTAGCAAGCGTATGTCCGACAGAACGAAACCCTGCCCAGTCCTGCGCCGTCCTCAGTGGTTGCTGGTTGAGGCCCTTCTGTGGTCACTGTGTCAGTGAGGGTGTTTCTCTTTTTCACTTGAATCTAATGGAACAGAGTTTGGGGCAATTCTAGGAACTGTGTCTCCATAACCCCAAGAGCAGCTGATCACTTCTCAGGTTGTTTCAACTCTTCTTTCTAGACCCAACACAGGCGCGTTCACGCTCAGCACGTTGGGCCCCCACCACAGAGCCCGTCGCACGTATGTACGTGCGTGCTCACAGGTTTGTGGCTCTCCGCCTCGTTTGACTGCCGAGGCTCTGAGGACTTGTAAGTGCGTCTTCCCCAAGACTGCTGCTTCCTTAATGATAGCCGATAGTAATAATAGCCACTCAGAGCGTTTCGGAGCCCCTGTGGTACCAGTGTTGACACCAGGCTGGGAAGTTGGGGTCCACTCAGAGGCACCTTGGAAGAAAGGCCTGTTGATTGACTTCTGACAAATCAGCTGTTGAAAACGTCATGGAGCTCCGTTCTCCGGATGGCACGTGGTTCCCCACAAGTCCGAATCGACTGTTCAGGGACTCTAATGCTCTCAGTCTTTACATGTGAGAAGACGGCGCTCAGAGTCTAGATCCCCTCATGGTAACTGACAGAACCCGAACTCCTCGCTCTCCTGCCTTGGACATCCTGGCTGTCGTCTTGATGGAACAGTCGCAGTCTGCTCCCCCAACCTGACCTTTTGGGCCCCCGGAAACCTTGTTTCTCACAGGGCTCATCTTCTGACCCCAGCACACCTCAACTCCTTAAATGCTTCCTAACAGCATTTAACACCAGCTGTGCTTGAGCTTTATGGAGTGCGTCCATGTTTATGAATCTCAGGCTTCATCCCTACAGCTGTGCAGTTTCACCATTCTCAAAATACCTCACCCCAATGTACCCCACTTACAGTCAGCAGGAGACCACACCCTCCTTCCCCTGGGAAAATGGAGAACATCTGCCGGGAAAACCATTTCTTATCTTCACCTGCAGACGTATCTATGCACATCCCATGGGGCAACACTCCTTCCTACGGAGTGGAATTCCCCACCAGTGTAGTGCCTGTGTGCTCTGCTTAGGTTTCCTCCCCACCTCCCTCTTGTCCAGGCAAACCTTTCCTGACCTCCCATTGCTCCTTCCGCTCTGGGTTAGTCGCCTATCCGCATGGCCCGCCTTTCCCAGGCCTCACGTCTGTCTCTGCAGTGCCATCCTGGGCGAGGGCGACAGAATGGGCCCTTCTGTGACTCCTTGTAGGGACCCAGCCCAGGAGAGGCTTTCCTTGTGATGCAGGCCACAGGGCTGGACAGAGGCGCGGTCTGCTTCAGCTGTGGTCAGAGCTGGAGACCATGGTCACTGGGAGCTACACTCCCACTGTTGTCTGAGTTTACACTCTACTAGGGTAACCATGCCCCATTGTTTCTGCCAAAAAATGTTCCCCAGTATCTTCACTAGAACGGAGTTCCCTGTGTGTGTGGGGGGGTGGGGTGGGGTGGGGGGTGCACTGATTTAGACTTGCTCAGCACTGACTGTGTCCCAGGTTCTGGGTTAAACACTTCATTGGACCCTCACAACAACTCCAAGGTAGGTGTTATAACTGCTATTGATTTTGTCGCTGGGTACCATCTAGTCGGTTCCTACTCATAGCGACTCCACGTACCATGGAACACAGCTCTGCCCAGTTCATTGCAGACACTCCTCACTGACGGTCCTCCCCTTTCTGGGTAAATAATTGACTCAGGTGAAACCTGTATCCTCTCTACCGCAGGACCTGCTGGCCTGGGGGCTGAGGGATGGCAGGGCTTAGGGTCAAGGCCCGGGAACGGGTGTGGGTAGGCCGCAAAGGATCTGCCAACCCTGACAGGCTTCCCACAGAGGGGCTCCAGGAAGCTTCGTACTACTGCTAAGCAATCTCTGTTATGATGAACATATAGTGTAAGCTTACAGTACCAAATCAGGATACATGAATAAGCAAATCCTCAGAAAAGCCCTAATGAGCAGAGCTAGCATTTTTTTTTTTTTTTTTTAACTTATTTACTGAGGTGAAAACAACCCACCAAACCATCTGTCAATACAACATCCACATTTACACCTCGGTGAGCCACTATTGCCTTGCTCCTCATCTGAACTTCCCACCATTAGCTAGACATTGTCATTCTTTTCCATCCAAGATAATCTGGCTGAGGAGGAATAGTATATCCAGATTGCTTGAATTGGAATTGGATTACCAGTGAGAGTAAACTTTTTTACCAAGGAGCTTCCGAATGGAATTTTCCCATGAACTGAGGCCCCCTCATGATGTATGCATCTTCTCTGATGTCGCTTTTTGCTTTTGTCCCTTTTCCACAGTGGTGGTTGCTTTGTTAACCCATTTTGTGATAAAATTATTTTCTGCTTTTTTTTTTTTTTTGATGTGTTTTTCAGTAATGGAAGGCATGCTGAAATCAAAGAAATTTATTTCTTTTAAGTAATATGAATTTTCATGCAATGATGTGGGATGCATATGTCCCAAGTAGATTTTGGTGGTAGGATTAATGGGATGAGGCCTGTTTTCTTCAGATTCACGCAGGGTGAGTCAAATAGTATTGCTGCTAGGGTTCCAGTTCATACTTCCTGGTTGTATTCCAAACACAAAAACGTGTCTCTACAGCTAGTGGCTGGCTGCAAACTAGTTCTCAGTAATATGAGGGGGTTTCAAAAGAGTTAATGGAAAAATGGAATGAAAAGGAGTTCTTTCCATGATCTTTTTGAAGCCCCCTTATGCACTTCTCACTCTTGGGTGTCTTAAAAAAAAAAAGAGTCCCAATTAAACAGTAGATGCTTGGGGGAATCTACTGGGCCAGTTAAACTCAAGGCAGAGAGGTTGGCTCAGAAGGTTAAAAACTTTTTTTGGGATCTTGATAGATTTTCTCAAAAGCTATAGGGTTTATATGAGGGCTTATCAGGAGGAAGTTTTAAGAAAATTGAAGGCTGCCTTGGTGAGAAAAAGCCAGGAAAGTTGCGCTAAGGTATTTCCCCCCATCTGGACAATATACCTGCTTATCCTTTGAGGGTACAAGGGCTGTTCTGTTAGGATTTAGGTGGGGAACCTTAGCCCATCCACGCTACAGCCCTGATCCTGCCCCTTCAGACTTCATGTTCCCTACATTCTAAGAACATTGAAAAGGAACTTGAAGATTCCAAAACTGCCATTTGACTTAGTGTAAGTTGAAGAGCAAAGAATTTTCTCAGGACGTGGTAGGGAGGTGGAAACTGCCTAAGGCAGTGTACAGACCTAGATGGAGGAGATAAGAAACAATAGCCCAGACCTGGATA